TCCACCGCTTGCCCTTTGTCATCCGCTCGCTGCGCTGGCACTTCTGCAACTTCATCTTCGACATTTCCATTCCAGTTGATTTGGCACTGCCGCCTGTGTTGCCGGCATATTCGTCGCCGATGACGGCTCCCTTATTTGTGGCACTGGGGTTGAACTCGGGTCCTCGGGGTGCCATCCCAGCCGGGTATGCATCGCTGCAATATGGCCGCCGGCCCGGTTGGCAGCTTGCTTTGCCGTCCGAGATTTTTTAATTCCAGCTGGATTCACTCGCTGGTGTCCAGTGGGAGTTTTCTTGTGAGTGTCCCGGGGCGGTCGCGCTTCATCATTGCCCAGCACACTTCCTCGCTGGCGCCATCCTGTGATCACGCTCCGCGCGTCGAAGCGGGTGATGGGCCGGGAAAGCGTAGCGGTAGCGGTGTTGGATTCACGTTGCGCACTGTCAGTGGTTTCGTCGGCCACCTGGCTTTGCAGTTGAGCGAGAGCCAGGGCTCGCTCCTGCGCCACCCGCTTTTCTGATTCGATGCGTGTGTTCTCAACCAAGGCACCGTGTTCTATCTCCAGCAGGGCGCGTTGTTCTCTCTCCCACCGGGTGCGTTCTTGCACGTCATGCTCGCCTGCGGCTCTCTGTTCCGCGTCACCCTCCAGCATCTCATCGAGATTGTCAGCAATTGCTCTCTCGACCTCCGCGTCATCTCCGGCAGCAGGGGCATCTGTGGCTCGCGCCTGATTTGTTTCTGACTGCACGCCCTGCGGATGGCTCGGTGGTGCTGGGACATCTGCTCCGCATGACTCGTCTATCTGCAAGCGAGGGACAGAACCGCGGTTGTCGGCGTTCTGTTGCGACTGGTCATTGATCGCTGAGATATGGTTAGCAGTTCGATTGACGGCTCGTCGCCCCTGCTTGTACTGCATCCGAGATTTTCTGATTCCGGCGAGTTTAGCTCGCCGCCGCTTGACGGGTGTATGAGTATTACGAGGCAACGGCGCGTCATCGGTGTCCAGCAGCGCCGCTCGTTCCCGCCATCTTGCCATCAAGCCTGACACATCAAGCTGGGTGACACGCCTGGCAGGCTCGGCCATCGGAGTGTCGTCGCCGGGAGGCAGTGGAACATTTTCGGGAGCCATCGGAGTGTCGTCGGGAGGCAGTGGAACATTTTCGGGAGCCAGCCCGGCCATCGTAGTGTCGTCGTCGAGAGGCAATGGAATATTTTCGGGAGCCGGCTCGGCCGGTCCCTCAAGGGTCTCATTCTGCAACTGAGCGAGAGCCATCGCGCTTCCCCCGGCACCCTGGACCGCTCCCTCGGTGGCCTCTTTCCGTAGCAGCTCCAGCTCGGCCGCCTGTGCGGCCACTCGATCCTCGGCCTCTCTCGCACGACGGGCCATCGCTTCCGTTTCCTCATGCCGGTGAGCCTGTTGAGCCGCTCGTTCGGCGTCCCACTGTGCGCGGACCTGTTCGGCAGCTTGGGCGGCTCTTTCATCCGCTTCCTTTTGCACCCGCACCAGCTCGGCCGCGTGGGATGCAGCCTTCTCTTCTGCCTCTCGGGCCCGTCGATCCATGTGTTCCGCTATCTGCTGCAGACGTGCGGTTTCTGCCCTGTGCGCCTCGCTCGCTCGTTCTCCTGCTTCCCGCTGGACCCGGTCCCGCTCCGCAGCCAGTTGCGCCGCAACCCTTTGTTCCATTTCGGCCTGCACCCTCCCTGATTCAGCGGTCGACCCTGTAGCAACGTCCACAAAGCATTGGCTCTTGTTCGTCGGTATCCATGGCCACGGCTGACCCTTGCCGCACTCCGGCACCCAGGA